CTTTTTACGATAGCGATTGACTAGTCAATCGGCAGGACTTGCCCTCGGATTTCGGAAAAATAAAAAGAGCAGATGCGGACGCGGGGCGGAGGGAATTCTATTTAATTACGGTTTCAATTTGCTATTCGTACGAATCGCGTACCAGACGTTCATTGAATTTAGTTTTATTTCGGCCGTAACGGCGCGCAGCGCAGCACAATACGAACCGGAAAATAGTTCGAAGTTTTTCAGCGCGATTTTCTATAATACATTTTTACGAATAATAAACACGCCCCGTTACAGCCGGTTAAAACTTTCAACTTCAAAGCTATCGATTAAAAAAGAGATACTTCAAAAATATTTATTGTCAAAATTGTTCAGAGCTCACTTGTTTGAAATAATTAATAAAAAATTGAGTATAGCGGGAACGCGTAGAACTATCACTATTCGCCTCATCACTCTTCACAGTTACTCGTGAAACTTTATTCTATTTTTAAAGTCAACAAGAATCGTCTTGTAAAATAAACTAGTATTCATGAATCATTCGATAAGCGGACATAAAATTCTATTAATAAAATGAAGAAATAATTAATTTCATGAATTCTACAAACAATTGTTCAAATTTTTTTCTATTAAAATCTGCAAACCCTCATAGAATATACAATGAAAACTTTCAAATCAATTGCTAATTGATAATCTCCTACTTAACGCTTAATAAGACGTATAATGAGACAATTCATAACAAAAGTTCATTACGTAAACGATAATGGAAATATGGTTCGATCAGCGCCTCGCGTACAACAGGAAATAAAGCAGTTTCGAGAAAAATCAGTTAGGATCGACGTCGCTAACGAAGAGGAAAAGGCTTCGGCGTATTTTATTCCGGTGGAACGTGACGAAGCTCGGTCGGTGAAAAGAAACGAGCCGGGCGCAGTTTCAGCTCGGTGAAGCGGAACGCTCGCAATATTTCTTTATACGTCGAGATTAGAGCCCTCGTGACGTTGTTCGGGAAGAAGGGAAAAAAGAAAGACGCGTTGCGCAACGCGTCGTCGTAGCCTAAATCTCGCCACGGAAGTTTCGGAACGCGCGTTCCCGAATCGAATTTCGTGGAGATCCAGCTAATTAAAGAAATTGGTCGAAATGAGCGGACTCGAAAAGAAAGTTCCGACGAGATGCACGCGAATGGTAAATATTGTAAATAATGTATCTCATCGTACCAGATCAAAGCGGAATTCGGTGGATATTGCAGCCTCGTTTACTCGCTTCGACGAAACGTTTCAATCGAAAGAGCCTTCGAGATTAATTATGCTTTTAAAATGTTGAAATATTCGCGTTCAGATTTCATCACGATTTTTCATCGTGTAATGATTATAAAATTGGAGAACGATCGATATACCCGTATAGATTTCTAAATCTGCCTTTTTGGACCCATGGAATGGCGTAAGCTTGAAAGAAGCTTACGCTATAATCGAATGGATTGAATGGGGATCGATGGAAACGTAACTGGAAGCGTTTTGAATTAAAATTAACGCGATGATGTTGATCGAATTTTTCCACGACCTCAAAAAGAATTGTGAAAATCAAGGAAGACGGGAAGGAAATTAAAACAAAAACTGCGGAATAACCGAGTCAGCGAGGATCCTGATTTTAATTCGCTCCGCGACCCTTCTTCTCATCCCCGTTTCACCCTTTCCCCGTCCGGTTCTTACACCGCGCACCCCTTTGTCAGTATGTAACTCGAACGTAGGCAAAATTACAGTAAATTTGCTGTTCTTAATATCAGTTAACAGTTAATAGTTTCGCGCAAATGTTTAACCCCGTTATTAACTTTATTTAAAAATGTCTAAAATTCTCCTGGAGGGATCAGAACACTAAAGAATTCCATAAATTTTTGCTCGATCGGCCGTTTTAAGAGGAAACTCGTCGTGGGGCGGCAACCCCGTGAGCACGGGTCTGACGGAAGTCAGCGGAGGAACACCGCGGCGGTGAACCGTGCACACGCACGACGCTAACAACATGCTCGAGATCTGACGATAGCGGCGCGAGAAAAGATGATTTATGAGCCGGGGACACGCCACGTCGTTTTCTGGAGGTTCGCGAATGGGTGACCGAGAGTGAACAACCAGTCGGTTGAAAGGGTCACGGAGTAGGAGGTAGGAACGGAAACAGGGGCTTGAGAGAGAAAACAGAGCGAAGACAGGCGTAGATTGTGTCGAGCAGCAAAATTATTATAAAGCATTACTAAACGACAGATAAGTGTTTAGCCTTGATACGCGATCGACTAACAACCAGTCGAGCTTCCCAATGACTAATGACTTAGCTCGACTTCGATCATCGTTTATCGATGCTCCCAGCGGAGTGCGCCGTATATTTTATTTAGTATTCGCTGGTCAAGGTCGAGTCGAGACCGGAGAAATTAGGTTTCTCGTGAATTATATATAGACAAGCGGAGGGAGTTCAGAACCATGAAAACTTAACGCAGCCCGAAGATGAGTGTCGTTCGCTCTGAGTACGTACATGCATACCGCGAGTGCAAGCGCGAAATAAGTCCTATGGAAATTTTCAAATCGTTCAATAATTGATTCTCGTAAAGCGAAGAGAAACACTGCTGCATGGAACTAACGTAACCAAATCATAGAAATGATCGAGAGAGATTGTGAAAAGGAATTATTAGAAAACAAACGGACAATGAAGTGAATAATAGCGGAAGAGAGAATAGGTTTAATGACAGGTATGCGAATACGAAATTTTGGATGGCTGCCTTTCTGTTTTACGGCTCGTTAGCGAGACGTGACATCATTTGCATCGATGCGCGAACACGCGTGCACACGCATTCGTAAATGCAGGTCAGTACATCGCTGCCACGTGACTCAGCCGCGACCGCGGATATTTATTAGATTTGTTTCAAAGATTTATAAATGCGTGACTTTGTTAAATAACCCGAGTTATCAGCGCAGTCCATTCGTTTTTTATTTTCGTACATCGAAGTTTGCGCTGTTTCAACCGAAACGAAAATATCTTCCGCTGATTCATGAGCCCGATGAATCTTGGTAATGGCACGTAGTCAGATTAAAAGATCCGATTTTAGCTTTCAACGCTGATCAATCATCGACATCGGCCGTTCTCGATACAGATACAAATGACCGATCGGTGAAGGAACAGTTCGATGCAGAAAGGGTTAATTGCATTCAAGTTTTTATGCCCGATTGGCCGCCACGTGACAAATGTCGAACGCGCGCGATAGTATCGAGATCTCGAAGGGGTCCGGTCGCCTCAATCCGATTTCGACGAGATTAATGAACGCGCTGCTTAGGTATCGAAGGCTCATTAAGACACATTAACCCAGGTCTCTCTTTCCCTCCTCCCTCTTTTTTTCTCGCCCCGTACCTTGTCCTAATGGCGTATCGATCACTGTTGGTCAACGAAAAACGGGCTCGACCGAATCCACATAGCGAGAGAGAGGACCGCGCGTGCCTCTCGATGCGACAAATGTACCAAGATCGATCCGACAAGGGTTGTTAATCGATTCGAAGAAATTTCGACACTCTTTCAACTGCATTAATTAACCTTCTTCCGTACTTTTACAGTTCACAAGTCTCAAGATATCATCGAATGAAACGTCCTGAGATTATAAATGAACAAACGGAAATTTGTAATATTAATGAACAATTAGAGAAAGGTCTCTTAGGTGAAGTATCGATGCATTAAAACTGTGAACTGATTCATTAGATAATTATGACACATGATTTATTACACGATTTATTTAATGATTTATTATGATCTTTCAATCAAGGAGGTATGGGACACGTGTGACCTAGTTTGTAAGAATTGCCGGTATCTGACAACCTATGTCCGTCAATACACAGATAGTCAGGAGTACTATCAGTAGCCAATTTGACGCGACGAATTCTGAGAGTAACTGATGTTATGGCTTCGAGTTCGATCTCTGATGGGGTTCAAAGGATGTACCGCGTACCGAGATAAGACTGTTTGGAGGATATGGTCATGGAACGGATAAGTGGATGCTGATAATGAACCGTGACGAACCTCATGACGACACTTATTCCAGGGCTTCAAACGAGTCCTCGTAAAATAAAGAAGCTTCTGACATGTAATATGTAAAATGATAGTTGTGCGATTGGTCGCGAAGATCGTATGAAATCGAGAACGTCAAATTCTCCACAAAGATTCTATTAATCGGACTTGAGTCTGAAATCGACGGAAAACTCGATAATCCGTGAACGAGAACGACATGTGCGGGAACGATAATCCGTTCACGATGACTGTATCTTATCGCTATTATCAGGAATCTCTGAAAGGAGAGCAAGTTTATCCGGCCGCGGTTGTATAGGTATAGCATTTTATAATCCACGAGAACCGTGGCTTATGATTTCCGCTTGTGCATTCTCAATGGACCTAATTCAAAAAAGGTTCATACCTTTCGAACGATTTGAAAAACGTTAGAAGTTTAAACAACAACAGGTCGGCCGAACGCGATGAATTTATCATTGTGTCAACCTTTAAAACGGAACCGCCGAGGAACGGTTAGACGTATAAGTTCTGACTCGTTCGTAATTCAATCTGATCAGAAACAGGATTGCACAAACGAAAACCAATTAATCATCAGCACAGTTTTCTCCGACCGCTAATACCTAGTCATCTGTCTAATCGGCTGTTTCTATCTACTAATGAACTCGCTTCACCTTTCCATAAAGGCGAATACTCTTCGCTCCGACTAAATGAACACGCGATCCTTCAGCAGAATCTATCACCCTCCTTCTACTATCTAATTATTGACACCCCTAAAAGACAAATAACCCATAATACATGATCCTTATTGCAACTATTAGACTGCGGATTTTTATGCGGAATAAAACGTTTATGGTATCTATCTGCGCAGTGAATTTTCCTTTATATGCAAGGAGTCTACGTTCGACTAATTACGATTCTTGAACGACGGAGATCTTAAGCTACAGCTGCGAATAAAATAGATTAGAGACAAGATGGAAAATCGTACTCACCTCGGTACGCTGTTGTAACCTCTTGTTCAACTCGTAGAGCCTGTAGTCCGGCTGGCCAAAGTACGGAGTATGCCTCCTGGGGACAGGCAACGATCTGTCAGATCAGACCGATCGGTCATGTTAGGTGTGCTGTGTACAGTGTGTTCTTTTGGTGTGGGTCGCGTGTCGCATGCATGCATTGGATTATAATATACGAATACGTTCGATTCTCGCATGAGCTCGTCACAAATAATATATCTAAGTTCGAATCAACTTGATTTATTATAATAGTAAATGAATTTATGATTTATGAATCGACTGAAAATTTTGAACGTTTCGTATGGTATAACCCAAGATTCGCGAGGGGGGAACTGGCATGCACCGCTTTCAGACTTTCGTAAGCCGCCTCGAGCGGCCCAATGAAACGACGAAACACGTCGAAGAACGTGGCACAGATTCGCGAAACTTACGACTTTCACCGGGAAACAACGCGGCCCGCGAACTCAAGACACGCGCACGCAACAAGCGCGCGCGAGGCCACGTCTCACCGGTGGTTACCAGTCCGATTAGAGACTACGATTCTCCTCGAAGCATCTCAACTATCCGCGGGTGAAGGAACGTAGCTCGATCGCTAATCTAATTGTTGGCGTGTAAGTCGTAACTGTGACTCGATATAACCCACTGGAAAGTTCGCTCCGGTAGATTAACAGAGACACGGCTCGGTCATGGTTCGCCAAACTTAATTAAATCGTTAGGACCACTGAGTGTGACTTTCCCAGGGAAGATTTATAGATTTACCAGCAGCCCGCGACTCCCGAGTCGCAATTGCTACCGTGTAATCTGATGTTGAAACTCTCTTCTTTAAACAGAGACACGATTGAGTCACGGTTCATTGAAGATTCACCCGGCTTAATTGATACGGAACGCGCTGTTCCTATCGTGTAGGTTATAATTGGTACCAGGTAACTTGTCACTACCACTCGACGCTGAACACTTACGTTAATAGATAGTAGAATGATTTAGTTATGATGCACAGAACCGAACTGGTTCACGACCAAGTTCTAAGTGTGCGGTCTCTAAAATGAATGGCGACTCTCGCAACTGTTGGTTAATTATATTTTAAAGAAAACCTATTGAAATATTCATTACAATGACACGCTGACTTCAGGAAGACTAAAGTTTAATCATTGATTAGTAATCACTTCAAGACAATTAAAAGAAAGAACAACTTCGACGCAATTGAAGAAGGAAGTTAAAGAATGAAACGAACTTCTTGTAGGGAAATACTATCATGAATTCATGATAGCAGTTCTTTTATTTTTTAAACCGTCTTTTGGAAATTTGCGTGAAATAGGCTATACGAGATTCATCTATATTATACTTTAAATCTGATACCGTTCATTTTCTGATTGTATCTACGACCTGGAAGGCAAATTAAGTGACGCCAAAAGACAACCGTAACACTGGCGGTAGAATGTCTTGATAATCATCTTTATTAAGACCAAGTTTAAAAGAAGACACTGGCTAAAGCTTAATTATCCTTGCTACAGCAGTTAGCGAGTCAGTCATGATTAATTATGCAGTGATTTCAATTTACAGTTTATTTACGCAAATCTATCCCGGTTGACTCGCCTAATTTTTACGATATGAAAATACAAGATGTTTAATTTCTATCGGCGATATATTCATCGAACAATGGTTTCAGGAATGATATCTGCGAGTATCGTTCGCGAAGTTCTAATTGAATATAGGAGTTGATTGTACAAAGGAGAGACCGTTGCACTGTAGCAACGATAACAGCATACAGCAGCGGCGTGTTTCGAGGGTCACGGAATCGACTGGCTACGCCGATATCGATCACCCCGCGGACGTTTTCTGTGCTGCGTCTTGTTGCTCGGGAGCCGCTCGAAAACTTTGCTCGAACTTCGCCGCGATGTGCTTATCTACCATGATTGCCACATATTCAATAACTGAACTTTCGCCCACGACTTCGTAAAACAAGGCGCCGACGTGACATTTTTAAAAAGCACAGGCCGCCATCCGATACCAGCAATTTGATATCGAAATATCTACCCAGCTTAGCTATTAGAGAATTTTAGTGGGCGTTTTGTGATACTTCCACGGCCGAGGCTAATTCTTGGAAATTGAATTCATGGTGTAACGCGCAGCGGTGTTCGTAATGTGGACAATTGATCGGTGGCATCAAAATATTAGCGCTCGGCTGACTGGTGGCCGTGCCCGCTGACAGCCCGGGACCCGGGATGCGCACCATTTCTCCGGGATTGTCATCGATTTTAATATCGGCGCCCGCTCCATTAACGCGTCTCTGTTCTCGCGAAACTTAACACGTGGCTCAAGCATTCATGCGTACTATCGAATAATTCAACGAGCAGATTTTTCAGAACTTGATCGAACTTCGTTCCTTGCGCCTGAACTGTTCTCCCGAGTATCAAGAAGCATGACAGACTGCTCAAAGGAAACCAGTGGATTTAAGTTAATCATATAAGAGACGAGCGAAGATTTTCATATCTGTAGTCGAACCAATTCCCACGTCAGAGTAACAAAAAACATAATTGCACGCGTATTACTTTTCTCTGTTGAAAGTGAAAAACGAGCAATAAACATCAGAAATCGGGCATGAAGGAGAACATCGGGCATGAAGGAGAACGAGATTCGCGAGGGGCACGATACTAGAGGAGGCTGCGAGAAAGATCGATCGTACCAGAAAGAACTTGGCCTTTCCAGTCTCCGGAGAATCGCCTCCGTGGGACCTGACGACACGTCAGTACCCCCTTGCCGATGGCGTGTATGCGTGTGTACGTGTGTACACACGGCCGGGGCGAATTTACCAGGGAAGGGTCGAGGCTCAAGGGTTGCAAGGCTAACCTACTGTCGTGCACGGTTCACCAGGGACGCAAACTCGACAAATTTCTCCTACCGTTCGCTTGTTCCTACTCTGATTCATCTCGCTCGCCGTTCCACTAGTTTTTGTGTTAATTCCATGTCAGAGGCGTAAAGGTTAACACACCCAAGCTTATAATTAATAAGCTATTTTTAATATCGAGTACGAGGAAATATGTATCGATCTAACGGGCAGCAAAAAATGTTAGGTCATCCGATTACTTATAAATAAAGAAACGAGGGATTAATAATAACCGGATTATTATTAGATCAAGGTTCGTGATATTTTCTTTACTGTAAACAATTCGTAGCTAAGTTTAGCCTAGAAAATTTTTTAATCCATTAACGTAACTTCGTCAACCTTTGAAAGTTTTTATAAAGGGCAAAGGAGACGGCTATAAAAATTCCCGGGGATTCTTCGGCATAAAAATTCATTGATCTGGACACGAGCTAAAGCAGAATGGAGAATGTAGCGGATAATTTAGCTGGGGAACGTAATTTCACGTGAGGCACGTACACGCGTGGTGTAGCGGCGTGCAATAATCCGAAACCGGCTCGCGCCAGTGCCACCAGTGCCGCCAGTTTCTCTCTCTCATTCAAGACGTGCTCGCCACGATCGAACTAATTAATTCGTCGCACGGCATCGCACCGGTTAGGCTCCGGACGCTCTCCAATTTTTTCCTTCCACCGATCGTGACAGATCGTTCCTTACCAAATACAAACTAATCCAATGACTGAAGAACCTTTACTCACAGTTTTCGAGTTCGACAGTGATTCTATAAAAATTACATATAAAATGGAAACAGAGGTACGAGACTAAAGGAAAATATATTTGAAGATCAGCAGGATCAATGAGAAATTAATGATGAAGACTAACAATAATTGGCTCTCTAACAGATAAGGATATAAGCGAACCCAGAATTACTGTATGTAATCCCATTGGACTTCTAAACAATCCCTAGATTCATTTGCCCTGACCGAAAAATCAACGCAGGGAGCTGTGAACAACGGAGCAGCGGCTGGTTATCCGCGTCGCGGGATTTCGCGAGTTAGTTGTGGTCGTTATCAGCTCGTGAGAGGTAATAGGTTTAGTTGGCGTCGGCTAATGGGCGTCCCGGCGCGCGCTGCCAGGAATCAGCTGACCGGCCAGCTGGCCGGCGTCGAAACAACGACGACGGCGACGACGACGACGACGACGACGCGACGCTCGAGAACGACGACGTACGAACTGTACGGCGACGCCGCGACGCGTCGACGGGTTGAGAGCCGTTGGCGCTGCACCACGGGTCTCAGATTGGGTTAGCAAAGGGCGCAGTTCAGACCGGAGGGTGGCTGCCGAGGGTGAGTGTCTGCCGCCGCTAGGAGGGAGGAAGAGGGTGTTATTAGGGGTTGCTCATGGGGTGGCACACTGCGATCAATGCTCGGGGAGTCATGCTAGCCCCCCTTTCCGAACTCTATATATAGAAGAATCGCGGACGAGCGCGCATACGCGCGTACACGTGCGAACCACACGGAATACACTCCACCGATGGCCATTCGAATACCCCTGTTGTCTCGCTAGTTTCCGACCGATTTACCCGCAGACAGGTTCCACGCGCGACGAATATTATTCGGCCCCGAAGCGACCAAGAAACGCGAGCATCGTACGCGTCAGCTGAGATTCATTATTCATATCGCTGAAAAAATTGTATATATAGAAATACGTCCAGGAGATCGAACACAATTGTGTTTTTTTTTAATACAATCATTTGCATGCATATGGTAATGGACTGTGTGCAATAATAAAAACAAGAGAATCGATTAAATAAACCTTGACTCTATTATCATCGTAAACTTGACTGGAGCAGAGAATCATTTGTGATACAGGAAATGGATCTCTGCCATTGAGAGTTCGAATTTCATTGGCTCCTATTTGTGAACAAGGCGAGACAGGGAGAATGTCTCTATAAAAACGAAAGAAAGATCGTTACTTCGAGATTCGTTGGTTCGTTGGTTTCGTTCGTGATACGAAAGAAACGATTCTAAAACGCGCGCGTACCTATGTCGCGAGCATTTAACTACCGCGGCGATTCACGCGGCCGTGCCTTAACTAAACTCAAACTGTCAACGTTTTACGGCGCGAAATTTGCGTCGTGCAAATATCTAATCTGCTTTATTTACCCATTCGAGATAGTGGCTCGTAAAAATTTAACCGCTGCTCTCTCTCTCTCTCTC